ACTGTTAAAGTTATTAAAACATTGCGAACAAAAATGTTCGCATTATCTATCACAAGCGTTTCCGTGGTGTAGTGGTTATCACATCCGCCTAACTCACGGAAGGTCCCTGGTTCGATCCCGGGCGGAAACAATTATTTTTGATGTTTTGAATTAAGAAAAACCTATTCTCTCGTCAATAATATTCTACTACCGTCACATGTATTTGAAATCATTAAAAAATTGTATAAGCAATTTTTTCTGTGAAAAATACGTGATAGGTTTAGGGTATCCTAAAACTTTGTGATTATCCATAAGAAAGTAACTTAATCAGATTTTACGTTCACTGTTTTAAATTTGAAAAGCTAAAATAATACGAATAAAAGTCATTTCATTCTACCAGCTTGTCAACGTTCTCTTTATAAATGTTTTTTCGTCGCGGTTCTTCCAGCTTCTCGATAATCGAACCTGTTCGCGGTTCTCCAATAGCCAAAAACGTATTTAATTCACTTATCTTCATAATTAAACGAATCTTATACGGTTCGATCGACAAGCCGTCTGATTTGAACCATTCGTGGGGTACATTTGTCGGTTGATGAATTATAAGGTTGTTTCACAAGAAAGTTTCTTTGGTGCAACTGTTTTATAGATATTTGATATCGAGCATGTGTCTCGCGAACAACTCGTTTCGCCTTCAATAATTCATGGATTCTTGGCGATGCAACTTTAATGTACAGCGGCATGTAATCAAAGCAAAACACCAATGGCAGTTCGATAAGTTTCTTGCGTTGTTTTCGACCGGTTACTGAAATCCTAAACGATAATGTGTAAATTAGTTTGTAACCAAACGACACGAAAGTTTGTCTTAGCGAGAATATTCACTGGCATTTTCTATGCAATCGATATAATTCATATTTCAAACGAATTCAATAAATTTTAGGTTACTTGAATTTTGACACGCCACACAATAATTATACCATACCATGCTAATAAATATTCACAAGCAGATCGATTTAAAGATAAATAATGCAATTCGATTACACTTTAGACGGCGTTCAAATAATTATCACGTTAATTGGACTTGCTTAGCATCCAATTATCTATAACTCGTTTATAGATAATTATAACGCTTATATACATAGATTAAATACATTTATACACTTCTTCATTACAAAAATCTACATTTCCATAGGAACCAGACAATAGGAAACGGAGATTGCTAGGAATCGGTCGTTAACACTAGTACTACCGAGCGCTTAGTATGGTTACCGTGTGATTCTTATCAAAATTGTAACAATAGATTTTTTCGATTTATCGCTATATTCATCACAGTATTCAAGCGATGCTATTTATTATTAAAATCATTTCAAATATTTAACATTCCTAAGATATCAATATTAGTGATATAAAGAAATTGGTATCCGTCATTTTGACGGGTGCGGTAGTACTACTGTCAACTCCTTGCCATATTACTTTCTTTTGTCACGAAGCTTGTGTAATTTTTGATTATCAACAATTTGAAGGAAACGTAAAGAAACATTCCATTTTATTGTAAGCGCAAAGCTTTAAACATAATCGATTAGTAATAGCAGAATAGTTTTCTACCTTATTCCATGGGAAACGAACACCAATGATTATTATTCAATTAATGCAGAAATCTTTATCGCGAGTCTCACTCGTCATTTTACGGCAACGGGTTAATGGTGTCTTAGGGCCAAGATTTTCCTTTCGTTGCGCTACTTCACGTCGGCAGATGCTGAAAATTCTGCTTCTTTAGTCATAGTTAATCATTGCACGGCCCGTATCTCCAGCATAAGCGAAAGAGGTCTCGAAATAACGTGTGATGACCTCGATATGCCAGAGCCGGCGATGCCGGGTGATTCGCTGGTTGGCTCGCGGCCCGATTTCTCTTCCGATATCTTTCCGCTGCACCCTCGAAAACCACCCCCCGTCCCGAGACTCCACTCTGTTGTTCGCTGCGATTGCACGTTCGCCCGAAAACGAAGCTCCCGTAAATGCTGGCCCGTATTCCGCGCGGCATTGGCTCACGATAATAAAGAAGTGTCTCGTTTCGAGCTACCCGCGTCATTCATGCCCTGCTCCCCTATTGAGCATCCTCTATTTGCAACGTTCCCGTTTTCATTTTGTCTAAGACAGTAATGGCTGAGTGCCTCCGATGTAGAGATTATATTAATTTCTCGGGGAAAATTAAGTACCTAATGAGGGTTCCTTTGTCTGGGATTTGAAAAGGGGTTCTAATTTGTTTGCTGGGTACGTTGGTGCTCGATTATTATTCTTGTCGCATGATTTTTCAATATTTTCGATATAGTGGTGAACAGAAACCATTATTGATGAGGAGGTGTAGTCATTTTTTTGCGAGAACGTTGGATTAAGGATTGGGCCCTTTATTCAAGGATCTGCAAAGAATACGGTTGTAGAATGTTTTCAGAGTTTTTCAACTTCTATTTTGGATGGATGATTTATATTTGCAATGTTGTAGCTGTTTATACTGTTTATAGTGGATGTAAAGTGTGATTAAATGAATCTCTTGTGAACAAAGGAGAATCTTCCTTTAGAACCGTAAAGAAAGTAAAGATTTTAGAGTGGATACTTCAAGTTAGTCGCGTATGTTTCTTAATAAATATATTTCTTTAGAATTATTTGATAATTTTAAATGAATGTAATGGGAGTAAAATATTATTGATAGAAGGGCAAATATTGTTTAATTATAAAGTGAATGCAAAAATTGTTTCCGCCCGGGATCGAACCGGGGGCCTTCCGCGTGTTAGGCGGATGTGATAACCACTACACTACGGAAACGTTGTGTTGTACCACTTTTTTAATTAAGTAATTCCAATACAAATATCATATTATTATTTTAATATTCATTAATAAAGTTTTATCATAAATTCGTGATTGCAACATAATTTTTTCTATATTACGTAACTTTATGTTTAATTATATAATTTTAATAATCCGAATTTGTATTGTATTTAATTCTCTAGCATTCTCTTATTAATTAATTTAGATTTTCGTTTCAGTGGTTAAAATATATTGACATAAAAGCTACGAATGCTGTTGAGAATATTGTCGACACATTTTACATTGTATAGCATGCATATGCCATTACATTTGAAGTTTAAAAAATGTATACAGTAAGACGAATTAAATTCATAATATTTTTTCAATTTTAGAAACCTCTTACAGCGTGGTAAACATTGATAATAAAAAATGCATTAAAACCTATACATAATGCAAAATTAATTCGTCTCGAAATATTCTTTAGAACATTCAACAGGAAAAATTCATTCTGAGGACGCAATGAATAATGTCAACGGTTAAATTATTATTGAAAATATATTATGTAAATATTGTATTCTAATGAATTCATTAACACGTTGAATGCCGTGGGGGTCACCGATGACCCACAACCAAATCGAATTAGTATAGTTCATTCAATTAAACGATGAGTATTTAAAAGCATTTTTATATTATAAATAATATTGTCTGATGCGGTGACATTCAGCTAGGTGAACATGCAACAATAATAATGCAATTCAATGACATGATTTAATATTCTATTTTTCCCATTTTGTGTATTTTCTTCTATGAAATCGTGCGGCGTTCAACCTGTTAAATTAATTGAACAAAAATGTTGGCCTCTGATACAGAATACCGATATAGAAAAAGGATTTGCTAATGAAGAAAAAAAACAAAATGTTCCCGCCCGGGATCGAACCAGGGACCTTCCGTGAGTTAGGCGGATGTGATAACCACTACACCACGGAAACGTTACGTAACCGGAGCTTTTCATTTCTAGTCCATATTGGAATTCTACACTTGGCAAGAAATATAATATTTATAAATATTTATTTTTATTTATATTATTCATAAAAACTGTTTTAATCAATTTGCGGCAATAAATTTATGATTAACATTCAGTTAATTGCTTTTAGTAAAAGATTACGGTCGTACAAAACTTAAGTAACTGCTTAAACTCATAATAAGAATTTATGTAATGAATTAGTGCATTCTGTAGAATGAAATTCATGTAGTAAAAGAAAGAAAATATGAAAGTTAAAAGTTATTCGTTGCTTTACTTTCCTATGTTTTTGTTAGCTTCTATTTGCGTATAAAAGCGGTAGAATTATTTTTAATTCAATTTTATATTAATAAATTAACTGACATAGAAATAGAACAGTCCATATTTAAACATACATCTACAAAGAGGCCAAGAACAGCTCAGGAATCACAAGTAAAGAGGAGAAACCTTCTAACACCACCCCTTAATTCACGCATTCGTGTGTAACTAACAGTTTATAAATTTATCGAATATTTTGCACGCTTGCATCAACTTATTTTTTAAATATCATACAACATTGTAAGGTTGTTATTAAAATAAATTTCCGGGCAATCATGCAATGCTAGCATTCTTCAGATTAGTTCTGCGAAGAGATTGATATTAGTGTTACTATTTCTTTCATGACTACCTTCATCAAGCTACATTGTCCTTAATAATTTGCCAGAAGGAAAAGGAAATCTATGTTCATCTACAAGCCACGTTTATTCTAAGGATTATAATACTAATAACTGAAAGATAGATTAAAATGCAAGAAAAAACTGTCATCCATTGTCTTACGATTTCTTTAGCAATTGGATTTATTGGAATTCTTTCATCGTTACCTATTGATTAGTCAAAATAGTCGTTGACTATTGATAATGAAAAGATAGCATTATATTATGATATTATAAAATATTTCGTATACAAATTGAGTTGAAAACCTTCCCCACGAGTCCGACATAACATTATAAGACAGGGTTCTTAGATTTTCAATTCCTTAGACTAATAATCTTATTAATATTCATAATAATCAGACCGCGAATCTTCAACCGAATACAGTTTCTTAAGAACAATAAATGTCTTCAAAAAGATATCAACCAAAAGAATACCTAAATAATAAAAGAAAATAATCATCGACAATGAACGAACCAAATCCCGATACACACGAACGACTTTTCACTATCGTTGCGTTTTTCTACTCGACCTCTATCGTATGACTGCAATGTCGCATCAAACGCAACATCAAAGAATGTGAAAGAAAGCGATACAAAACAATGACAAAAAGATGCAACGCTGACAAAAGATCGTATGAAATTATTTTTATCATATTCTACGAGATGTTAGAAGTTCATCAACCACATTTAATCAAATATTCAATATTCTATTTTCAATTTCGCCTTGCGTTATAAGAATTCGACGTGAATAAACGTTAACCTGACACACCACATATAATATTAATTAATTGTTATAGCAATATATTGTGTTTATAAAAATTCTCTGACAGACCGTTCGTTTGTATCGAAGCTAAAGCAAACCTGTAAGCTGAGTCGGAACCGAAAACCGATCCGCCTGGCACAGCGATTAATTAAATCCGCTCCGACGCGAGGAAGTCGCGTGTCATTCGACGCACAGCAGCATCGTAAATCGAAGATCCACCCGCCGGCCGACCAATCAGCGCTGGGCACGAAATCGCCGGGCACGTCGCACGCCGTGGACCAGCAGCCTCGTCCTGCTCCTCTGATCCTTTCACGAGCCTTCTATTGTCCTTGATGCTCCTCGACTCCCACGCCTTCGTCCCGAAAACCGACGTATCCTGACCTCCCCCCGGCCCCCTCTCCTAGTCCTTTTCCCCCACCCACGCGAGCTGATCCTTCGGCCGGGGCGCGCGGAGAATCCTCCGCGAGGAAAATATCCCTGGCTCGTGGTCTCCTGGTAAATATTGGCTCGTGCTCGGCCGAGCCGAAACCGGCCCGTAGCGGTCCAGATTGTGCAGTCAAAGAGGTTTTAGTGAGCACTGCGAATGCCAAAATTGGAAAATTGAGGAGTTCTTGTAGGAAACACCTGTAACTGGCAAAATTGGAGATTTTAAGGAACATTGTAAGAAACAAAATTTGAAAACTGAAGGGTTCTTACAGAAAGTACTGTAAGTGACAAAATTGGGAATTGATAGAGTTCTTGTAGAAGACATTGTAGAAAACAAAATTGGAAATTGAGAAGCTCTAGTAGAAAACGAGAGCGAGTTCTCTGTGCTAAAATTAATATCAATGTTATGTTAATTGGACTGCAGAAACACAGGATCGGAAATATGTAATATTTCATCGCGCCGCTACGAGATTCGTGTATACACTGCGCATTGTTTGCGTTGTTATTGATTTAATTTATTACGTCGAATATTCCAAACCATTCTGCACCATATAGAAATTCATCGAAGCGGCATTTTCGGATTCTTTGTCAGACAGAAAACCATCTACAATCATGAGATAAATGAAGGTACAAAAACAGCAGTTTACACGTGCGTTATTCAATTTAGTTCATATCAAACCCAGGTTAGGTATAGCTCCGAGTCTTCAGTATTAAGTTGAGTTGATTTTCAACTCTAAGAGTCTACGAACGGTTGTAAGTAGTCTAGTTGCGAATAACAAGGTCTAACTATGAAATCGAAATAATAAAGGATACTTTAAAACAATCGCAAGCTACTCGTAGAACTTCAACTATCCTTTTTTAAAACTTGACCTGCAGCGTTTCGGTAATGACTTATTAAATTTCCTATGATTTTATTGCAGCAAATAACAGGTAGGTAATTCTTTCTTTATAGAAAGAAGGCCCGAGTTGTCTGTAGTATTACTTAATTGGTAAGATAACAGTGAGTACTAATGTGTTTGTTTGAAAAACAAAAGAAATATTTTCTCTCTATTTTAATAATCTACGATAATTGCTCATAATATTAATATTCTGTTATTTATTATACTGATGTCAACACTTTCGAAAGGTTTATAAATGTATCGGTAGATCAATATACCATCTAGATGCAATCCATTTGTACGATATTCAGAAAAATATTCAAACCCAGAATTTAGGACGGCAGAGACATGAAAAGACACTCCGCAATAATCATTTTTATTCGAATTCTCGGACAATCATCATTTAAAAAAAAACAACCGAGAGGTCAAGAAGATGTTCCAGATGGAAATTGCATCGACAGTTTGTTACGAACAAATACGGCGGGCTAATTTATTGGTACTCCGAACGTTTCAGAAGGTGGAGTAATTGGAAACCGGGTTTTGTGTTTCAGTTTGTTGCGCCGAACTTTTTATTTGTAAAGTAAATTTACCCCGTCCGAGGCTCGGTAAGCCAAGCGGAAGGTTGAGAGTAAGGTCGAGGACACGATGGATTTTCGAGTGGGAGGAGAGAATTATCCCGCGGAAGGATGCATGCCGCCCCGAGGATCGATATTGCTCGACGACGCGAAAAATTATTAATACCAGTCCGCTCGTCGATTCGAGCCCCGACTTTGTGCCTAGGTTCTAGAGATTGCTCCCTGCGACTGTTCTCTGTTCCATCGTCGTGCTCAACATTTGTTAATTAACCTTATTCCAAGCGTAACACGTGCCTTTCCACATGAATTTCGAATGTAAAGGAACTTTTTTGTAACTCTGAGGGTTGATCTGTGAATTTTACGCATTTACAATGTATATTAAACGTAAAATTGCTATTATATAAATAATTATTACTGTACATGAAGTATGAGATATTAATATTGTAAGTATTCACGGTTTTGTTTAGCGGAAATATTGAATTCAGCGTTCCTCGCAGATATGATGAAATATTTTTAATTGGTAGTGTATGTGAGCCTGGAAATTGAAATAAAATGGAAAGAATAACTTAAATATTTTTATTGTATTTCTGACCGTTGCCTATCGATCCCCGAGTGAGCTTTGTTACCCTGTTTTGTTTCGGGTTGTGCTTGTGGATATTAAAAACATTGAACAACTTTTTCTTGGAAAATGGAGGTTTGTAAAAATGTCTATACTGCACCGATGGATATTAGTTTTATGTTAAAGCAAATTTTAAACACAAACCGATTTGATATTTAGTAAGTGATCACTATGTTAAGGATTCGAAAATCTTCGTTCATTCGGGAGACTGACCAGATACATCTAATGACTGAAACATCTAAAGGCAGACAAAAACTAGCTGATATATTTGGACAGGTCGCTTATTAACGCCACGGTTCCACTGCTAACAAAAGTGGATCCAACTGATTAGCGCTCGGGCTGGTTGGCTTTCTTTTCCAAGAACATTTCGAAGGAACAGAAATTTCCTTTTTTCCCCGTGTGATCCCGAATCTTCCTCGCGTTTGTAGTCAATACGCGACTGTCAAGCTATAGAGAAAAATCATGGAAACTGTAGACAAAAGTCTTAACCTATCTATAAAAGTATGAAGGATAAAATAGATTTTGTAATCCTGTAACGTAGTAACTGAAGCAGATGCAATAAAATAAAAATCTTAACGCAACTATTAAAGAGAAGAAGAACGCAAAATAAATTTCATAATTCTATAGCTTACAATATTCTACAAAATAAGTAAAATAATAATCTTAGGAAACTTTTGACTATATTCTTATATTATTTTTGCGATTTCTCGTCAAGTTAGTTTCATAAAATGTCTGTACCTCATTAGAAAATGTTAAATATTTCCAGTGAAACACTTCTGGCGTACAAAGGGTTAAACGTATAGAAACAAGTCCCAACGTGAATGTATTAACATTAATCATATCGGGAATAGGTCAAATGAGTGGATTTAAAATTCTACGCTTTCTTTCGTTCACTTAACTTTATATCAATTCTGATATTCGATTAATCAGTTTTTCAACTTTTATCTTTCCTTTTCCTTCGGTGAGGTTTTTCAATGAAAACAAATTTGTCTAACTTGTTTACCTTTATTCTGCAGCCAGTTATTTGACTGGTTACGATAGGAAAAGTGCTGGCACGGTTAGTGTTAATTGCAAAGGAAATCGTACGGCAGGGGGTTACGCTTGCCGTCTTCCCCGTGGATCCTCGTCAGTCAGCCCCCACGATTGACGGTCACCCCTGTTGCGTTTTGTGTCATTGAGCTTCACGGAGCTTTCACGGTGGTCGGGAGGGTGGTCCGACGATCCGTCAGGGTGTTTATCGACTGAATCGTTTGGCGCCGGCGCTTGCATTCCACCCCCGCGTGCGCTTTTGATTTTTTCCGCTGCTCGTTTCCAGTTTATTCAACGCTCCGATGTGTCCTCTCGATCACGGCTGACTAATTACGGAAATATTTTTTTTCATTTACACATAGTATCAGTTTAACTAACTAAAAACCAAAAATTCCGAATATCGTTGCTGTAAATTTGCACGAATTTGATACGAATTGTATTGCGAATTTTTAACATTTTCAACTACAACGCACGGGTCTCCGGTATATGCGAATTTTGAAATATTTCAAGCAAAAAAATGCCGAGAATCTTCAGTGATCGAGATCTATGGATGAACTTCGAAATTTTTGTGAAATGTTATTGGAATAGGTAGCTGATAGTTTGGGTTAATACACTGTGGATTTTGGAAAACAATAAAATCAACATTTAAATAGATCTTCCGGCGTTTTCATATGAAACAGTTAAAATCTGTCTTAATTTTAGAATTCTGTATAAAAATTTCGATTGATCGTTCGCCAAAGTATTCCAGCTCAAATTCAAAATGAACAAAATTCATGTACAATTCTCTACAATTTGAGGTGAAAATACTGTAATTACGAAACTGCGGATCTAACGCATTTATGGAACATTTTAATCTGCAAAACTGCCTAATCCGAACAAGTATACAAAATATTTAAGGTCTAGTACCTTTTACAATATTTATTAGATACTTAGTAAATCTGTACTGATCCGATTCGCCTTTATCCTAGGTATTGTCTTCAAAAAATACAAATAATCGAGAAAAATTTTACCATAGCGAGCGTGTTAATCGTTCAAAACTAAAGCATTCAAGCGAAGAATCAGAACGATCAAGATCTATGTGGGATTTCCGGCGATTCGTAGTACAAATGCCGTGGATTGATCGCATCGAATGTGCCCGCGAGACGTCGCTCGAATTTGTCAAGCAGAAACGCGCCGTTGGAAGGCCGACTTTTGTTCCCGCGGCCGTTCCGCTCCGCCTTGGATCGTTTCCAGAAGTGATTTGCATCTAACGAAGCCACTTTGTTCTTGCGCGATGTAGCCTTTCCACGGGACACGGCGAGTCCACCGCTAGGCAGCCGCGTAAATATTGAAAGCTCCGAAGGACGCCGGCGTGGCGCAAGGCGGGGGCGGCACGACAGAGGAGCGGGACCGACTGCGAAACACGACAGTGTCGTAGCGCGTGCCAAGAAGCTTGACGAGCGCCGGTGAGTCGGTTAAGTGCGCTCCTCGAAGTAATTAGGGGATCGCGCCTGCTCCATTTCGAAAATAACGAGACTCCGTGTTTTCGACAATTTTCGTTAGACCCTGCCCCGCTGGAAAATAATTCGGCAATCCTTGATGCACAATGCGAATTTTTTTTAGA